AGCATAGGCTAGCAGAGTCTGTCAGTGACTGTTATTGCAAACAAGAACGGATTCTCTTATGGAGTTTTTACTCATTCAAACTGGTATCATTGATTCGCTGGAATCATCAGGCAAGCATAACTGCTTGCACAGATCTTAAGGGAACCATATATTGAACAGTTGTTTGTGACTTGTACGATAGATATTTTAATAAGTCTTAATGGGTTACAAGAGAGCAATCAACGGATCGATATATGTGGACTGTTGCGCATTTGTCTACTTATCGGAGAGTTGAGGTAATATCGATACGGATAGTTTAGAAAACCAAAGAGTCTGCGGAATTCGAAAGGGATGCGAGATTGTTGGTGATATTATAGAATAGTGTGCATAAGTTAGTTTTACAATATGACGGATACACGTAGAAGAGTAAAGCTATACGCGCTCAATGCGGATAGACAGTGGGATGATCGTGGCACAGGTCATGTATCCTCTTCATACGTAGATAGATTGAAAGGAATTTCACTTTTGGTCAGAGCTGAGAGCGACGGTTCTGTTTTGTTGGAAAGTAGAATACAACCTGATACTGCATATCAAAAACAGCAGGTAATTATTATTATGAACTGTTCCTTTAATATGAAATACATATTGATTGATGTATGAAGAATTAAATAAATTATGGGTAAAGAATGTAATTTGTGTTTTATTTCAGGATACATTAATAGTTTGGTCGGAAGGAGATAATTTTGATTTAGCCCTAAGTTTCCAAGAAAAGGCTGGCTGTGATGAGATTTGGGAGAAAATCTGTCAAGTCCAGGGCAAAGATCCTTCAGTTGAAATTACCCAGGATATTGTAGAAGAATCTGAAGATGAACGGTTTGATGATATGTCAGATACCGCGCCTCCTATAGAATTGCCTCCTTGTGAATTGAGTCGATTGGAAGATATTAATGAATTAATAGGAAATTGTTTATCCTCTCAAATGAGAAAAGATAAGTTGGCATTAGCATTAGAATCGGAGGGCTATATCAAGAAGCTATTGAATCTATTTCATACTTGCGAAGACTTGGAAAACATTGAAGGATTGCATCATCTCTATGACATATTTAAGAATATTTTCTTACTTAATAAGAACACATTATTTGAAGTTATGTTTAGCGATGATACGATTTTTGATGTTGTTGGATGCTTGGAGTATGAGCCGACATTACCTCAGCCAAAGAGGCATAGAGAATACCTGCGACAGTTAGCCAGATTTAAGCAAGCGATTCCTATCACAAATGCTGAACTGCTAGCTAAAATTCATCAGACGTATCGAGTTCAATACATTCAGGATGTAGTTTTACCAACACCAAGCGTATTTGAGGATAATACGTTAAACACACTGAGCAGCTTTATATTTTTTAATAAGGTTGAAATAGTGACTCTCATACAGGATGATGAGAAGTTTCTTACTGAATTATTTCGTCAGTTGACAGACGAAGCAACATCGGATAGTAAAAGACGTGATCTAGTTCTTTTCTTAAAAGAGTTTTGTAACTTTTCTCAGAATCTGCAACCGCAAGGAAAGGAGGCCTTTTATAAAACTTTAACAGCTCTTGGTATTTTACCAGCACTAGAAATCACATTGGCGATGAACGATGCCCAAACGAAAACGGCCAGTATAGATATATTGACTTACATAGTGGAGTATTCTCCAAGCGTTGTTCGAGATTATACACTGCAACAAATAAATAATACAGAACAGGACCAAATGTTAATAAATGTAATAGTTGCTCAACTCGTTGGCGACAGCGATCCAGAGTTGGGTGGAGCAGTACAATTAGCTGGTGTATTACGTCTGCTCCTTGATCCAGAGAACATGTTGGCTTCCGTTAATAAATCAGAAAAGACTGATTTCTTGAATTATTTCTACAAAAATAGTATTGGAACATTAATAGCACCACTACTGGCAAATACGATTGGAGATCGACCAGCGAGAGAAGATTATAGAACAGTACAGCTTTTAGGATTGATCTTAGAATTACTATCATTCTGCGTAGAGCATCATACGTACCACATCAAAAATTGTATACTGAATAAGGATCTGCTCAAACGGATACTGGTTTTAATGAAATCAACGCATACATTTTTAGTGCTGTGCGCATTAAGGTTTATGAGGAAAATCGTAGCTTTGAAGGATGAATTTTATAATAGATATATTATCAAGGGAAATTTATTTGCACCTGTATTCGATGCATTTGTAAGGAATAATGGTAGATATAATCTATTAGATTCAGCTATTCTTGAAATGTTTGAGTTCATTAAATTGGTAAGTATATACAAATTTTTATAGAATATTTTGTAGAAGTCAGTGTGTCTTGATTACTTAATATCTTTGTTAACTCTATTTTAGGAGGACATTAAATCTTTATGTTCACACGTTGTCGAGAATTTCTCCAAAGAACTGGAAGCAATTGATTATGTACAAACGTTTAAAGCTCTGAAATTAAGGTACGAACAGCATCAAGACAAATTAAAGGATCGAGACAGAGCAGCTCTTGACAGGTATATATGTTCGCTTCTTTTGCCAATAATTTTAACTAATTTTAACCTTTAATCAATTTTATCAGAATATAATGTAAAATTAATATATTAACATTTATGGTTGTTCAGTGTTCCATCCATATTGAGAAATAGTCGATACAGAAGGGACCAGAGACAGTTAGATGAAGAGGAGGAAATGTGGTTTAACGAAGAGGAAGACTTTGATGAGGGTGAGGCGGTCGTACCCGCAGCAGCAGCAGATCTTGTGCCTCCGGCTTCTGCTAAGAAACAGTCGTCAACTTCAAATTCTGCACTTAATCCTGCTCTTGCAGATTCTAAAAGCCATCACCAGCAGCAGCAGCAACAGCAGTCCGTATTGAACAATAACACTGCTAACAATAACATTACCTCGCAGCAATCGCAAATCAACAACAGTACAACAGCAACGAACGAATCTCCGATTACCTCGGAAGTAAATCCCAATTCGGCTACCGGCACAGTGGAGAAAACTGGTACTGCATTATTTAAAAAGGTATACTTCTTTTCATCGTATTTAGAACCTTTTATCTTCATCACGAAGGCCTTAGGGTATCTTAGTTTTATCTAAAGAGGCGACTCGAATTACTCCAACACAGATTTTAAAAACGAGCACACGACTTCTTTTAAGAAGACCAAATAAAACAATTCAAAGATAGACAAAGCTAAATTGCAAATATGTTTCATTACTAGTTTCGATACCAAAGCTGCTAACTTAGGGTAATACAACTGCTTCATTGGAACTGCAATGGTTTGCATACTAACACCACTATGGGTGACACAAGGTTTGCTCCTGAATCTTAAAAGTTGAACGTGTTTATGAAATATTAAATAAAATAAATTGTGTCGAGATGCATAATTAACTTAATAACTTTAGAAAAGAAACAAGCGCAATAATGAATTGCAATTTGTACACCTTCCATTTTGCATGATGCAGTTTCACTTCTCATATTGTGATTAAGATGATTCTATTCGTTTAAGATGCACATGCGACAAATTAATTTCCAGGGTTTGGTCGATTACGAAGGAGATTCAGACGAAGAAGACGAGGACACTGAGGTTACACCTTCCCCAAAGCGGCAAAGATTGTCATAGTAGGCAAACAGGAAACGATCAAGAAACTTGTGATTTCTGAATCGCTACTACCATTTCTGGCCCTCTTACGTGCACAAAGGACTCGATCAAGAGATCGTACAATCAACCAACATTTTTTAACAGAAAGAAGAGCAGTTCTTCTTAAGTGAGTGAACACTTAGGAGTCACGTGTTTTAAAATGAAGTGGTGGAACAAAATTGATATACCTCTTTGTGTTGGGTTGTGTATATTATACATGAAAGCAATTGGTATTGAACACGCAGGTGGGTGAAAGGGTCTAAGAAATGAGAGGCGTATAGAATTGAGAAACGAAAACAAAAAAGAGGAACGAACGACGAGCCAATACGCGATACAAAGAAAGATAGAACTTTCTTTACACAAGCACATACGATGGTAAAAGTTGTG